GGCTGAATACTCACGGGTGTTGCTTTGTCTAACTGGTGCAAAAGATTGACATAGAAAGCATGACAGAATCAGTTCTAAAAACATAAGAATAAGCAGGCCTGCCGGGCGGTGGTGGCGCACGCCTTTAATCCCAGCACTCGGGAGGCAGAGGCAGGCGGATCTCTGTGAGTTCGAGACCAGCCTGGTCTACAAGAGCTAGTTCCAGGACAGGCTCCAAAACCACAGAGAAACCCTGTCTCGAAAAAAAAAAACCAAAAAAAAAAAACCAAAAAAAAAAAAAAAAAAAAAAAAGAATAAGCAGGCCTGGTGATGCAAGCCTGGTGATTCTTGCTGCTTAGCAGATTGAGGCAGGAGGACAGCATGTGCAAGACCTGCTTAAGGAACAGGCTGAATTTCAACTAGCCTGAATAACTTTTTGAAACCCTTTCTTAAAATTAAAAACTAAAAGGAGGGCTGGAGATCAAGCTTTAGTAGCAGAGCTTGCTTCACACATGAGAGGTGCTAGGCTCAGTTTCCAGCACAGACACAAGCACGGCACATGGTGGGCCCTACTCCTTCAATGTCTCCCCTGGGGAAACCTGGAAAAGGCTCTCCGGCCTGGAGTGAAACTCCCTAGGATGGCATGCATAAGCCTGCCCATGGGTAGTGTGTTCCAGGTTCCGTTTCTAAAAGTCCTCACAGTGTCTCCTACTGTCATTTCCTTCCCTCTTCTCTTCTTAGCTATCTCCTGTACTAACTGGAAAAAAAATTTAAAAACCAAAAACCACTTATGGATGTGACCCTCCCCTTCCTCCTTGACATCTCACAAAATACGTCTAAGTAGATCGCTTGCGTGCTTTTCCTCATGGTGCATGTGACAGGGGTCTAGGAGAAGAATAACGGCTCTCAGAGGACTGTGACCTCAACAACATGTTACAAATTCTCCCAGACCTCCTCTAGGACAGTTCTGAAGTCAAAATATGTACACACACTTGTGCTAAAGCTTGCTTTATTCATGACTGGTATCCCAGCAAACCAAAGTGTCCTCTGTTCCTCATGGCCTGACTTCAACCACGTTCCCCTGTGCCCTGTGTTCAGAGGTTTCCACCAGCAGAGCATGTCTGAGTTCTTTGGCAAACTGACTTCCCACATGCTCCCAAGCTGCTCTGTCTTCACCAGTTACCAAGATGTCCCAGGTCAGATCGTATTTACACGACGTGTGTTTGGGTGGGTATACCTTGCCTGCTGGGCAGCCACACTAAGTATAAGAGAAATATGCATAGGATGTAAATCAGCATCCCAAAGAACAAGAGGATGCTTTCTTGGGCATCCAGAATGCGACCCTGGGGGCCTTAAGGAGGACCTGTCATATGCACAGGATCTGGAAACAAGGCATCAAAACAACGTGCGTTCTATTTTCAGCCACTGTGCTTTCATACCACAGATTCTGTATCCTTAAGTGTCTTAATTAGGGTTCCTATTGCTGTGAAGACACCATGATCACAGCAACTCTTATAAAGAAAACATTCAACTGGGGTAGCTGATTTACATTTTCAGAGGTTCAGTCCATTATCATCATGGCAGGGAGCACACCAGCTGGGAGTATGATGGTGTGCAGGCATGCTGTGCACCGTGGCCCCAGTCTGCGCTCTATGTGCTAGACCCCAGTTCGCGAGCTTCGGGCAAGGGGCTGAAGGTTTAGAATACAGATGCAGAGACAGACTGACACGCAGACCTTTTAACACTGATACCAAAGTCCCTCTTTATTAGCACCCTATAGGCTTAAATACACTGCAGTCAATGGCCAACAGGTGAAAATCCCATCCTCTGATCCTCTAAGCTAGGCACAGCTTCTAGTAACTTTAATTAGAAGGTTCTAGGAGGGGAGAGCAGCTGAAGGCCAGCAGGACTCATTAATCCCAACACAGGCTGATATGGTGCTGGAGAAGTTGCTAAGAATCCTATATCTTGCAGGCAACAGGAAGTCAACTGAGACATTGGGCGGTATCCTGAGCACAGGGTCCTCAAAACCTGTCCCACAGAGACACTCTTTCTCCAACAAGGCCATACCCACTCGGGTAAAGCCATACCTCCTAATAGTGCCACTACCTATGAAAGTCAATTACATTCAAACTAACACACTAAGACTTAGCACAGAGCCTATGACAAAATATACACCCCCCTTCCACTTATGTCTTGGTCATCCATTCACTGAACATTATATACTCACACATGGTATATGTGTTGCTTTGCAATGGGGTGGGGAGGAACTAAACTGAATGCTGGGAGAAAGAAGGGGGAGTCAGAGAGACACCATGTAGCCACTGCCACCGAAGGAGACAGATGCCCAGGGAACTTTACTGGTAAACTACGAACCTCGTGGTAAAATATAAAATAATGGAAATAGGTTAATTTAAGATATAAAAGCTAACTAGCAACATGCTTAAGCTATTGGCCAAACAATATTTTAAATAATATAGTTTCTGATCTGGGCAGCTGGGAAACCAACAAGCAGCCTCCAATAACATATACACATGTGCATGCATAGTCCCAAACACTGTTTACAGGTGTGCATGTGCACACACACACACATACACACACACACCTACTAGCTATTGGAAGACGCAGGATGTGTCATTAGAGTATTGGAATTGGATAGCAAACAAATACAAAGTGAATATGCATGCCAGTTGTTAGTATATCATGAAGAAAACAGCATTTCAGACATGGGGATGGAGGCTGGGAAGATAACTCAGGAAAGTGCTTGCGCTGTAAGCATGGAGACCTGAGTTCAAACCCAATCGCCCATGCACAAAGAGTCAGGTACAGAGTTACAATGCCAGCACTAGAAAAGCAGAGACTGTAGAATCCCTGGGGTTCTATGGCCAGGCAACATAACATACTTGAGGAGTTTCATGCCAGTCAGAGACACTGTTTCAAACAACAAATGAACAAAAAGCCTACAAAGGACGGTTGTGAAATAATCTTTTTGTACCCTGTGAAAAAGTATCGCTCCGATTGGTTTAATAATATTTGAATGGCCAATAGCTAGGCAGGATTTCCAGGCACAGAGGATGCTGGGAAGAAGAGGGTGGAAACAAGAGAAGACACAGAAGGAGCAAAAAAGCAGGATGGACAGTGCATAGATGGTAAACAAGCCTCGGGGCAGCACATAGATTAGTAGAAATGGGTTAATTTCAGTTAAAAGAGCTCGCTGCAGATAAGCCTAAGCTATTGGACAAGCTTTCATAGTTAATAATAAGTTTCCATGTAATGATATGGGAGCTGACTGGTCAGATAGAGAAAGACTCATTACAAAAAGGACAGGCAGTGCTTGAGCACACAAGAAATTGTCCTATGGTTTCTTCATGTACTCATACGCATGTGCATGCCCACTCCCAGACCCTATATAAAGGCACACACACAAACACACACACACAAGTACAGGGAGATAACACAATTGGTAAAGTGCTTGCCATTCAAGCACGAAGCCTTGTTAGAGAAAAAACAAAACAGGTGTGGGTATATGTACTTGTAACCGCATTACTGAGGAGGCAATGACAGGAGGATCCCTGGAGCTTGCTAGATAAATACTCTAATTAACTCAGTAGACTCCAAGCTTGATAAGAGACCTTGTCTCAAAAAATGAGACGCAGAATAATTGAGGAAATCACCTGATGTCAATCTCTGGCCTCCACATACATGCGCAAATATATGTGCCACATGTACATGGACAAACACACAAACTTGTTGCGGTGCTTTGAATAAGAATGGCCGCCATAGGCTCATATTTGTGAGTGCCTAGTTTAGTCATCAGGGAGTGGCATAATTTGAAAAGTATTAGAAGGTGTGCCTTGTTGGAGGAAGTATGTCACTAGGGATCATTTGAGTCTTCAAGAGTCCATGCGATAATCTCTCTCTCTCTCTCTCTCTCTCTCTCTCTCTTTCTCTCTCTACCTTCAGATCAGGATGTAATTTTCAAATACTCAGCTACTGCTCCAGCATCTGCCTACATGATTTCATGTTTCCTGCCATGAAGATAATAGAATAAAACCCTGAAACCATAAGCCAAGTTTTAATTAACTACTTTCTCTTATAATCGTTACCTTGCTCATCATGGTATCTCTTCACAGCAATGGAACAGTGACTAAAACACATGTGCACACACATACAAAGTGGGGACAGAGACATGAAGATATACTTTATGTAGGAAGTGATCTGGGGAGATGTCTCTGATTTCATAGTTTTTCAGTGGGCAGAGCCTTAAGGCAAATGAAGAAGTAAGCCATACAGCTACCTGTGGGGAGTATGTCCCAGGGCAGCAGAAGGGAAGGAAGTGCAAAGACCAGCTGCAAAGCAGGAGTGTATGGAAGTGTTAGAGACAATGAAGAAGGTGTGGGAAATGGAGCAGGGGTTGGGGAGGAAGAGCAGCTGGAGAGACGGTCCAAGAAGATCTTGTGGGCACTCTAGCCAGTGGAATGGGCAATGTTTCAACTGACAGGGAAATCCAATTGGGAGTTCAAGTTGATCAAGCTCTCTCTGAAGGCTATGTCTGTATAGTTGAGAGTGAATACGAGGGTAGAAACAGGAGCTGTTCAAGGTTATTGCAACAGCTGTACAACGAGATGATAGTGGCCATGACCAAGGTGGTGATGCTGAGAAATGTGTAGATCACTTAGGAGCTCTGCAGTTCCCCTTGGCCTAAAAAAAAGAAGGAAGACTCTAGATTTCCGATATGGCTGCAAGCTGAGCCTGTATTTGTTTTTCTCTTTTATAATTTCATTGATATATATTTGACAAGCATAAACTACATTCATGTAGTATATAACATTGCAATTTGACTGAACCAGATAGCTTGCTCTTGCCAGCCAGATAGCTCAATTTTTTTTATGTTTTCTATAGTAGCTAAATAGTGAATTTATATTTGTACCATTAAAGAGTACCTTATCCTTGTCAATGCTTACCCTACTACTCTGGAAGAAGAGCAAGTGCTCTTTACTTTTTGCTGAGCCATTGCTCTAGCCTCCTTCCTTTTCTCATTCTGTGAAACAGATGTTTCCAATGCAGGGTTAAGCTTCCCGGTGAGTGGCGGACAGTGATTATAGGACCTCCAGGCATGCTAGATAATTCAAGGAATGGAGAGGTGATGGATTCCAGGCATCTTTGGAATTCCCTAAGGAAGGAGGCAGGTTATATTACAAAGATGTAACCAACCGTTTGGAATAAAGATTTTATATAAAACTGAGAAAATGTCATTTACAGGTAGCAGCTGAAATCACGCAGGTAAGTTGAGAATAGTCTTTCCCCATTTCTATATTGTGCAATTTTCCTGTGAGCTACATGTATCTCGATTAACAAAAGAAAGAAAAGATAAAGAATAATTGATCTAGAATACTATGTTAAGAAAGGCAGGAAAAGGAATCTATTTCCTGGAGCTATAATTGTTTTTTAATGAAGTAGATCTACATTTGTTAATTAGGGAAAAAAAGACAACTTAGCCACAGTGTCTGGGGATTGAAATTTTCATTGGTGTGGGTCACCCAAATACATCTAAGGTCCCTGGTAGTACATGTTTCTTCATGAAACATGAGCTTTCTTTGTTCATCTGTGTGGTTTGTGGGTTCCTTGAGGAAACTGTGCACATGCTACGTTTCGTGCAAAAGGTTTTTGTGCTTTAGAGTGTGTCTCTGTGTGTTTTGTCAATTAGTGTTTGCTCTATCTACCCCAGGAGCCAAAGAGCAGCAGAGCTGGGCTCCTGTCTTAGCTCTCACTATCTCCCGGTGGCATCTCCAAGTTCAGATGATCACAACCTGGAGTTGAATGACCACGTGCACTGCTGCCATTGCCCTGTGTAAAGGACACCAGGACACTGTGATCCTGGAAAGGAGGTCAGGACAGTCCAAGGAATGGGATACCCAGGAACCCTACAGCATGGAGAAGGGCTGACAAAACTAATATGCATTCTACATGGGAGTGGCTGAACTGGGAAGGATGTGATAATACCATCAAAAAGTTGACTTGATCCCAACCCACACTGTTACTGAGCCAGAGATAGATTTTTAACTCACTTTTCACAGAAGAAAAAAAAAAACAAAAAACAAAAAAACAAACAATCCTGACAGTATTTGCCACTCAACAGTGAAATGAACTGCGTTAGAAAGAGTTGCCATTCTTGGGATAACAGAGAGATGGAGTTCAAGGAGCAGACCTGAGAGTGAACTGCATCTTCCTAAATCTCCTCTCAGTTTGCAGATGCCCTTGGGTGATGAGTGCCAGGAGCGAGCGCAGCTCTGCAGACTCCCGTGTACCTGTGATTGATAGTAAAAACACTAGTCAATGAACAGCACATGAACACATTGTTATGCACAAACCATGCTGCATGGACCCTCACCATCAATTTCACTACCTTCTCCCCATATTTTTATGCTACTCTAACTCTAACACAGGGAACAAAATCGCACGGGCTTTTCCTAAATGGCTATTAAATCTCCGGTTCCTTTCCTACCAAGATGCACACTGTCAGTTTGACCTAAGATAATCCCAAGGCTTCTGAGAAATTTACAGCGAGGCAAATACCTATCATTCCTCAGGCTTCCTGGACCGTGTGGTGACTGCCTTTAGCCAGGCACTGAAAGGCACCCTTGCCCCAGAAGGTGCCTGCTCCTGGTGTGGCCCCAGGTCAAGGCCAATCAATTTGGCTTTGAGGGAAGGAATGTGAAGCAAGTCTCTCCAGGAAGGTCCAGATGTTCTGTTGCACTTGCATGACGGCTTCTGCTAAATGACATATGGCAGAGTCCTTGAGAGTCTGGCCAGGCATTGTCAGGAAAGGCAATCACTAATGGTCAAGGCCCCCTGGAGGACAAGGGAGATGCAGATGAAGTAACAGAGGAATGAGCTGTCACAGAAACCGGGGACTAGAAGGTGGTTTTCAAGCCAGAGAACCTGATACTCACACAGCTTGACCTCTTCACTTTTATAGACGAGGCAGTGACTTTCCAGAAGCGAAGTCCAAGGTCAACTCTGCAACAGTCAGAGCTGTACTTACGTGGCTCAGAACATTATTTCCCTCTGGATTTATACCTGCAGATCCTTGTTTAGCTCATCGCATCTTAACCCTGAACACACTATACCATTTAGGCTGCAGAGCATCCACTGCACTCAAATGCCTTCAGAGGGATTGACGAATTTTAAATATTTGCAAGCGCCCTGCTTCCCATCCCGAGGTCACATAGTGAAATCTTAAATTCCAAGGTGATGGTATTAGACAGTGAATGGGCTTTTAAAAGATGATCAGGGTGGAGCCTTTGTGAGTAGAATTAGGGCCTGTGTCGATTTTTGGTGTTGTAAAATCTATTATAGACTGGATTATCTCTAAGTAATAGAAATGTATTCCTCCCAAGGCCGAAAGCTAGAAAGTCCACGATCAAGCTAGTGTGGAGTGTTATGAGAACTGGTTTCTGCTTCTTGCTGGATGGTGCCCTCTTCAAAGAATGGATGCTACGTCATCCTACGGTAAAAAGGTTGAAAGTGGCCCAAGCGCGTAATGAAACTTCTTTCCTCAGGGTCAGAATCTCCGTTGCGAGGGAGGAGTCCTGTGACCCTGTGACTTCCTAAAGGCCAGGCCCGGTATTATTACTGCATTGGAGGCCAAGGTCTAACGGGGTGAAATACAAACACTTGAGCCACGGCCGTGCTCTTATTGTAGAAGGCCCCGGAACCTTCTTCCTAGCCCCTCCCCCGGGAGGCGAAATGGCAAGAAGCCATCATTTTTGAGGAAAGTGGTTCTCACCAGGCACTGAATCTGCCTGCACCTTCATCTTAGGCTTCCTGGCTTCCAGAACTTTGAGAGACAAGTTGTTACTGTCTGTAAGTCCCCTGGTTTATGGCGCTTTCTTCTAGCTAAGCTGGACCGGATTAAAGAAGAGATTCCATCCATGGAAGGTGCTGAATTTCCTACCAGGGCAGGGGGCCATACCCCCAATGGGACAAAGAAGAGCGCCTGTCCACAAGCAACCAAGGGGAATTCCGCCATCTAGTGACAGGTTAACTATCCCACTGGGTAATCAGAGTCTCTCTTGAGAATTCAAATCTACAAAGAGGTGCAGTGTTACACAAAATTCAGAAACAATTTAATTTTTTTTTTCAAACAAGGTTGCGTTCTATGGTGCGGGCTGGTCTAGAACTCAGAGATTCCTTCTGTCTTTGCTTCCCAAGCGTTGGTATTGAAGGTGTGCCAACACACCGGGTCAAGTTCAAAAGTTTTAATCATCAAGAAAGGATAAAATTCTTCAGATGTTAATTAAGTAAACTTACTGTTCCTTAATTCTTGTTTCTGTGTGTCCACCCTTTCCTGTTATGGAGAGCTAGGGAAAAATAAAGACAGACAGATAGACAGAAACAGAAAAGCAGCCCCAACCCAACTTTTCAGTATAAATAATTGGAGCAATTCTTAGACCATTCACTGTTTAAATTCCAGGCAATCACTGCAGGGGTCACTTGATTTCTCCTTCCTCTATTTAACATTGATAGAAAACTCCATTTATTCAAGGCACAAAGATAGTTAACTCTTATTCCTCCGTCTCAGACTTAGCTGGAAAGTGGAGGGGGAGCACTATTACTACTCGGTAATGATTAAGATGAAGAGATCAACAGATAGTGTTGGGGCAGCACACACACACACATACATAACCTGCCTGGTGAAGAGGATCTGAGAGCAGGGAGGAACACTGGGAGCACGGTTGCCAAAAGGAGTAGGATTTCAGCAAAGGAAGAGAAGGGCCAGGCAGGCCAGCTTCCATCGAGGGCACTGAGCTAAGGATCTGTATGTGTACGTGGGGAAAACTGCAGTTTGACGGTCATAGGGCTGTTAAGTCATCAGGGCATAGCAAGAAGGAGGCTGACCATTATCAACAAAGATAATAACTCAGGTTTCATGTTCTGGCCAAGTCTCACCAGCAGTCAAGGCCAGAACAAGCTTCACTGAGCCTGTAGACTAGAATTTTCCAGAATTCTTAATTTGAATGTCATTAGTCAGCCAAGCTCAAGTTCATCAGGGTCCTTACTACACCTCCTTGCCTCTGTTCTCTTATGGAATGTATTTCCTTCTGCCCCCCCTGAGTGTGGTCCTTGCTCTCAGAAGGGTTGTCAGTTTTCTATGGGTAAGGGGATGATGGGACCCCTGCTTTACATGGGTTGTCTCAGGAGATATGGAAGGGGAGGTTCGGAAGGATGCTCTTGAGGGAGAGAAATCCCTTAGAAAGACACTATAAAAGACCAGCCAAGAGATGTCAAACACCGATAGCTATGCCCCGAAGGACACAGTACATGTAGAGGAGTGGCATGCATCACCTCTTGCTATTCCAACAACTGTGGAGCTTTTATTGCCTTTCCCTCCATCATTCTTTGAAGGCACAAGAAGGCTGACTCAATTATCTCTATGAAGCATTGACCTGAAATTCAGACTCTAGGTTACATGATGTAAATTTCACCCAACTGCTCTCTCTTGTGTGAGATTTTTGTGGCGTCCAAAGGTAGCTCAGCTGAAGCTTAGTATGGACTTTGGGATCCAGGAAAAACCACTGAAGATGGCTCACTGATCTGTGTGCTTGAAGCTGGTGGATTGCATGGCGGTGTCTGCGTCTATTTGGGCTGCAATAGCAGTATACTGTAGACTGAGTGGCTCATAAAAAAAAATTCTTATTCCTCACAGATCTGGAGAAGTCTTTGGCAAGATACAGTGTCCCATGAGGACATGTTACCCCTGTGCCCACATGGTAAAAAGAAGTGATTATCCCTCTGGGATTTCTTTAATAATGACACTTATTACCTTGTTCAGGGGCCTCTACCCTGACCCGGTCATATCCTAAAGCTCCCCCTTCTAATATCAACATGCAGGGAATGCAATTTTAACATATGAATTGGGGTGGGGCACAGACATTCATACCACAGCACTTGGCAAAACCTCTCTACATTTTCCCTTTAGAAATAAGGGGAAAATAATCCAAGCTTGGTTTGTATAATAAATCACAAACACCAAAGAAAGGTTAGGTGTTATAATTTGGCTTACAGAACCACTGGTTTCAAATAGGGTCAGAGGATCCTTTGTGGGCCATAGCAGCCTAGACTGGGAGCCTCTATCTCCATCTCCCCCAGTTCTGAGGAGAATTTAGAAACTACCCCCAACCCTGAGCAGCACCCCCAGAAACTGAAATGTTCCCCCTAAGAGAGAGCTTCCCAAAGTGCAGTTCCAAGAAGATAGTATGGGCATTGTTAAAGGTAAACAAGGAATAATTTCAGTGCTGTACAAAGAACCATGTAACAGAGAAAGTAGCTCAGGAGGTAAGACACCTTGTAAAGATTAGCTAGCAAGCACACTGGCCAACGTGACTCCCATCTTTTATCCGTGACATCCGTGATAGCATTTCACCCGTGGGAGCTAGACTTCACAAACTGATGCAACTGGCTGATTTTTGCAAAGGGAGACGTGAAGGTTCAGAAAACATGAGTCCTTGCTGACCATACTGTCTTCAATGTCTAAAACAAAAGGCGAAGGAGGGCTCTTACAACAGATTGCTTGGGCACCTGCAATGCTGAATTCTCAGGCCCCTCCTTAGACCCCTTGAACTGGAAACTCAGAAGTTTGGGTCTAGTGATCAGCTTCCCCAAGCCTGCTATGGGATTCTGACACTGAAGACTGAAACCATTGCTCCAAAGGGCAGCAGCAGACCAGAAATGTGCTGTTGAATTCGTGAGTCTCTCCTGAGTTCTGGATTTCATCCAAGTGAGAAAATTCTGCAAAGTCATTCAGAGCCCCAGATGTTATTGGTCAGAGTGAACGTGAGCAGACAGCCTGTTGGGAGGTTCAAATTCAAGTTTCATATGTTTTTTTTTAAATCTTTATTTATTTCTTGCTCTGATCTTACCTGTGGTGATGGTTCCTTTGGGAAGCCTCTACTGACCATCCTGGACCTGTGGCACATGTTCCTGCTCATCATTCCAGTGTCTGTCACCTTTTGGTCACATACTCCCCACTCTGGAGCCAGATGAATAGAGACATTGACCTTCTTGTTTATCCTTGAGTTTCCAGAATGTAGTAGTAGTAGTAAGGTATTCAGCAAATATGTACTTTATTCAACACTTAGCTCACCTTTGCTGGGAAAGCCCATTATGGTAGCCCTTGGCCTGAGTTGATGCTCCTCTTTTTGCCTTGTGCCTTGTTCTATCCCCTTCAGTCCAGCTGTAGCTACTAGGCCATTAGAGATGCTTGGGCACTCTCTCCCTAATACAAGTCTATGCTGAACTCTAAGTT